TATATATATATATATATATATTATATATATGTACGTATGTATGTTGCAGAACAATGATCAAACTCCCTGGCTTGATGTGCTGTAACCTCTACCTAACTAAATATTCAGCACCAAAAGATTTTGCATCTTCCCTTGAGGTTAGAACTGAAGGCTGGCTTGTCTGTTTGTAGTATTCAGTTTTTAAGCAGCCATTTCTTCATAAGCTGACTAAAACTTTTCATTTAGCCTGCTGTCACCTAAGCAAGAACCTCCGCTCAGTTTATAGTGCTGGGATACACCTTACTCCAGGATGTTTAACCCTGAAAAATAACCCCATGTAATTTGGAGGCTGTCATAATTCAGTATGCAAGGCTGGAAACCCACCCATCTCTCCTCTAGCTGTCTGGGTAGTGTAAGTACTTTTCCTCTAGGATTGCAGAAATCTAGACAACCCTATTTTCTCTGACATTTTTGCATTTAAAAATTATACTAGATAAACTTGTGGCAGACATTAAGTCAGAAATAGTTCAAGCTTTTCCTCCCTCTTCTCCTTTTACTTAGCATTCCCCTCAAAGTATAAACAATCAGTTTTGCATTTTAATGCCCACTGCATTTTAATACCTTTGCTGTAACTAGCAGCAAAATGCATTCCTTCAGAGGCTCTCCCCTACTGTACAATCATTAATGGGTATATCTAATATGTGTATGTTAATCTGTAATCTGTGGAGGGAAAAAAAATCACACTGGACAACATTTATAAAAACACAAAGTGAACTGACTTAAATATTTTTAAATATTTTATTGTCACGATTGTTACCAAAACGCCTTCAAAACATTCTGTATATTTCCAACTATTTTGAGCTGCACTACCCATTATATAAACATCTGATGCCATGATGTCTCTGTACAGAAATGTACAATATGTACAGTAACATTGAATGCAAGCTGTGCAAGGCAAAGTCTAGGCTACAGATTCATGCCACTGGTTAAAACAAGGCATAGAACCACAGCTTCAATCAGTTCCTTGTGTGCAAATAAACAATAAATGCAGATATATATTAATATTAGAAAGGAGTAATTAGATTTGCAAGCTCAGTTCAGCTAGAACAACATGCAACTGACTTGGAAAAATACAGTACTACTCTTGTGAACTTTTTCCACTGCATCACTTTGTTAGACCAAAATATTTTCAGGATTCAGCTGCTACTTTTGGTTGAGCTGAGGTGATGCCAGGAGATCGAAATTTTGGAAGATACAAACCAAATTTATTTTCTATACCAGCAAATGTAGCTGTAGCAAGTCTGTATCCACCTATGTGCTCAGGGTTAACAGGAGGAAGATCTGAAATTCGAGGTTTTGGGGTAGGTTCTGATCCAGAAGGTTTGCTGTTTGAAGAAAAAAAAAAAAAAAGGAAAAAAGCATTTCCTTTATTTGAAGTGGTTTCATAAGCCTGAATAACTTTACAAAATCTAGATTAAATACTTAAGGCTTTGAGTATGGAAGACTGTTAAAGCTGACCTTAATTCACTTCTGTGGTTAAGTAAAGTTGAGTTCAGATCACTACTTAATGGGAAATCAAGGCCAAAAGTGAGTTACATTTTTACTGAGAGCTTTGTAAATTCTTTTTAACTTCCAGTGACACAGGAAAAATGGACAATATCTCTTGCTACAATGGAAATACAAATTTTATGTAGTGTATTAAAATAAATATGAAATGGCTCTTTATGTCCTCATCTGTTTAGAAGTAGCATTCAACTTTTAATTATAAGGATGGGGGATTTTTTTTTTTTTTTTTCTCCATACTGCAATTTTAAGTACAGGTGCTCAAAGTCACCCAAGTTTAACTGGTCCCATGCATGAAAAAAAAGTAAGATTTTTTTAACTTGGTAGGTTTTTTGTGCAAGCTAAAAAGCAAATAAGTATTTGACTTACAGGCCTCCGAAATCTACATAAAGCCATCTCTGCAGAAGTTCATAAGTGACCAAAGTAACACCAAACTGGGGTGAAGATCTGAACACACGAGCTGTTAAATATTACAAAACAGTGTCAAACAAAGAAAAATTTCTCATGAGAGAAGCTAAACATTTTTAACACAGTTAAGTTGTTCAGAATCAGACCTTGTAAATACTGCTCTAATTTGAGTCCTTAACAAAGCATGTACTAACTTGCAGATTTGGGGTCAGCTTTATTATTCAGAGCGCACTTCTCACCTGCAGCTCCCTTCCAAAAAGCCGAAGGGCCTTCTTCCCTTAGAATCTTTCCAAAGCAGTCAATAACTCCACTGTATGTTGTCTGACCAGCGCGAGCTGCCACTTGCAGTCTTGTCTTGATGACATCAGCAGGGGTTACCAAAGAAGCAGCAGGCACACCTTTTAGAAGAAAACGACATTTAATTTGCACAAAGAATCTTGTAAAAGATGAAACACTTCTAACTGAAAAATACAACTGAAAACTTTAATATTTTTTGCAAGGATTAGACATTACTAAAAATGCAAGTTCTTACACTTGATGCTAATACAAACTGTTGTGCTTGGTATAGTTAATTTGAGTTTCTTCTAAATTTAAAGGCTACAACTGATAATAAAATAATAAAAATCTATCAACAGCAATGCTCTCAACATCTTCTAATAGTCTGTCAGTAGTTTCACAAAGTTAAGAGGCATCTTTACATTCACACAAATGCTATATATGTAATAATTGATATCCATGACAAAAATTAGTTGTGCAGCCTTATTGTATTTGCTAATACTCTTCAACATATTTTGCAAATTACATAGATGATTTGATTTGGGAACTGGAATCCTACACAGCCATTTGTTAAAGGTGTTAATAAGAAAACTAGTACAGAAAGAGGTCTGTGCTGCTGTTTGGACTGTTGTGTAGGTGAATAGATGCTGCTTACTTCAACAGGCAAGCCATAAAAAGACTGAGGCCAGTGAAGGTGTTTTACAAGTCTGCTTAGTGCCAACAGCGTGATATTAGCCAACAGTGATGGAAGAACAAATCTCCACTTCCAAGGCACCACTCTCAGCTTTCTAGTCAAAGGAAAGGAGAAAGTTTTCAGAAATGTACTCCACAGTATATAACTGTGTCATCTGAGATATTTCTGAATACTTCTGAATACTACAAAAATGTCATCCTCTTAAAAAGAGGAACCATCATCTCCTGAATTAGTATTTTGACATTTATTTTGACTTCCAGTAAACATTTACAATTGGTTAATATTTAATTAAAAATTTAACAAGTCACTAAATTTTCAGAGGTGATCATAAACTCTGAAGTGTCACTGATAATTCAGGAGGTTTTAAAGAAAAACAGAAGCAATGTGGTTAAGCTTACAAGCATACACTAATGGCAACCATATGCAGATTTTCCTTTACAGGCAGATATGTTCAGACTATTCTTGCCTGCTGCACATGTGTAACAGGAATGGACAGAGCAATCGTACATTTGAAATCTGTAATTCAGAAAGGCAGATTCTTGTACATGCTATAAAAATAGGCCTCCCATGATTTACACACATTTTTAACGGGGTTCATCATTTAGTATGAGTGACCCAGAAACA